TAGTTGTATATTTTTCTGCAGATTTGGCCAAGCATCAAAAAAAGCGTAAAGCAGCTGTGGATAATAAACGGACCGATGAAACATGAAGTTTAATGAATCTTACATCCGATGTAAGTCAGTCCAGGGTAGGCGCCTAGGGGAAACCCTTAAGTTCGCTTGACCCATAATGTACGAATTATACATAGTAGTGTTGTATTAATCCCTTGTTTACAAATTATGTACGACTCCAGTTCCCCCCAAAAAGAGATATATTGTTTTTAATGCTAGTGATTGGGAATTCCAGGTTGCAGTGTCATTAGGAAAACCAACACACGAATGCGAAGAAACAGAGGCTGACTTGCACGTGCACTTTATGCACTCCACTTCACATCGACAAAGAAAATGTCACTTTTTGACACGTGTCACTATCTGCATTGCTTATTCATCCGAGTTGATCGTGCAAGGATCCTTAAAGTTTCAAAATGAAATCTATTTTGGGAGGCTCCTCTAGTAAATTTGTGTCTACGAATGGTGTTTTTGTTTTCGAGATTTCACGTGTATTCATTTTTATGAGTATGTTGGCTGGCAGCGGCTTTATGTGCGTCCTTCAAGCCCATACAATGCGCACAACGAAAAATCCTACACAGAAAATGAACTTAACAGAAAAACCTTTTAATTTATTAAACATACGTTCGCTTTTCAAAACCTCTGGTGTTGCGCGTTCTATTTAGGTTCAGAAGCTTAACTTCATAAGTTTATGTATCGTCCTTGATACCCTTCGACCTCTGATTATCTCATCAAAAAGCATTCTCCCTGATCTCTTTACATTAGGCCAATGAATAAACTATCACAACCTTTGAACGCTCTTAGAGTTTATTGAAAATAGACGTCAGAAGCATTTTGCGTACCTGCCAACAAGTAGCAGAAGGAACCAGCTATATTTTGCCAGTCCGATGAGTAAAGAACAAGATCTCAATCAACGGTGAAGTGCGAATCCGATTTTGCCCGACTGAATTATTTCATTTGTTTCTCTAACGCTGAAGAAGGTTTGTATTTATACCTGTTAAAATCAACGGTGAAGTGCGAATCCGTTTTTTGCCCGACTGAACTATTTCATTTGTTTCTCTAACTCTGAAGAAGGTTTGTATTTATACCTGTTAAATTATCCCAATTGAACCAACCTGAAGTCGTGAAATTTAGAAGTCCCAAAAGAGTGCTTCCCAGCAAACGTAAATTCCACTTTGTGCGTGTTGTGTACCAGTTACAGTCCGATAAATCTGACCCACATAAAACGGCCATTATTTTATTATCGGTGATAATATAACAGAGAATCCTTACAAAGTCAAGGGACAGTGAACCAGCGCGGTATATAAATATTTTGAACCAACTGAGAATTTTCGGACCTTTGGGCATGCTGGCTGGCTCAAACGGTGCCAAGTGGATTTCTAGTGTATGTTCTGCCCTAAGCTGATTTCCGGGCGATCTGAGTTGGCACAATGAACTAATTAGTAAGCCCTAATATCCGATGCGTAAACTGGGATGCTAAAAAAGCTACGACAGATACTGAATCCATCAACTTTGATTGAAAATGGGACTGTTGGACAAGATAAAAACCGGATAGTGCTTCTCGCGCACTTACATGCTTTACTCTGCTTAGTCATGTGGAATAGCTGGACTGATGAAATTTTACCGTGAGATTGGAGGTCATTTATGGACAGGTGGGTGAAATTCGCTAGCCCAGCGAACACCGTTGCACAAGTATATCGACCTGGAGCAACAAGTGAACAATGAAAAACAATGATAAAGGATCAATAACCGAACTGTCCTGTGGACCTTTTGTGAAGATTGTGAGACGAACGGACCGGAATTCATTGAAGACCCTTCCGCTGTACTCATGTCTTCCATTTGTCCGTTTTGCCTCATTCCATTCAAAGCATGGTTCCATAATTCCTGAATCCCGTTTCCAATGGTATTAAACAGCTGCTGGCAATAAAGGTTTTTAACCGATCTTTATCATGTGGGCACACTCCTATAGCTGAGCTAAGGGGCACAAGATCAAGCAGCATTAAGCATTTCCCATTTGATTTGGCTTCATACGCAGTTTTTGGGTCGGTAACGTCAAACTCATATGAAGGACTCCATATAAATTGTAATTGAGTTTTTTGATAAATAATTAATCACTCTCCGTTATTACCGTGGGTATAGAATATTGTATGAAAATTGTTACAAATTAGAAGGAAGAAGTGTCCATTGACGCCATCCATAGGATTGCTTTTCTTAGTACTAGACAGCATCCGCCCGAATAGATTTAGGAAAGACCAGCACGTTGTAAAAAAAAGCTTGCAGTAAATCTGCCAACCAATAAGGAATCCAATCATTAATTCATAGCTTGAGCTGTTGCTTTGTCAGTAACGAAATGCACGTTGTAATTAACAGTATATCATCCACTTCTGAATAAGTAGCTACAGTACTGACCGTTGCGTCATAAAATGACGGCCAAGATTTCGGTCCATACTACCCCAAATAAGTGAACATATTGGATAAATAGCAACGGATTCCGATTAGTTGTAGCAAGATAATGAAGAAGTTAGGATTCCTTCACTGAAAGAGTATCGTGATTGGACACAGAAAGCATTACTGAAAGCTCATGCTTTAAAAGGAAACGCGCTTGTTACGGAGACATTTTTCAATGACTTAAAGTTGGTTCCTCATTAAATGTTGCCATATTCAATGACGAGTTGGAGTTGCTTTCTCATCAACGTGGCTCGCGAATTAAGCCAAACCACTACGGCCTTACATTTTCAGTTTAGTTGGATGGTTTGTTGGTTTGTCAGTCAAGTATTCGCCAATTGATTTCGGTGGATTCACTCACTTACTTAGTTAGTCGGTTGGTTGGCCAGCTGTCTGGTCACTTGGTAAGTTGGATTATTAGCATGTTAGGCGATTAGCCAGTTAGCTATCTTGCTAAACAGTCAGCCGGTTACCTTGTTAAGTAATCACATGGCTGCTTGTTACTTAGTTACTTAGTGAGGTGGTATGTTATCTCGTTAGCTTGTCAGCTGAATATCCATTCAGCCAGTGTTTTGATAAGTCATCATTATGGTTAGTCGGGTTAGTTGGGGTTAACTAGTTAGTGATCTGTTTAGTTAAGTAACTGGATAGAAATTTGGATAGCTTCTCGATCCCCTAGTTATTTATTTTATTAGTTAATTCACGAGCCAGATAGTTCTTCAGTTAGTACCTTAGTTATTTAGTGAATAATAATTCAGTTGGCTGCCTAGTTAACTATTCATCGGCTTAGCTACCAAGTTTGTGAACCTGTTGACCAATCACCTGGTGCTGTGGGATTTACTCAAACATGAATATTTGTGTCGCCCAAATTCGACTGTTTTTGATGTGTTTCGCTAGGTAATAGATAATAGGTAATAGATAGATAGATGATAGATAGATAGATAGATAGATAGATAGATAGATAGATAGATAGATAGATAGATAGATAGATAGATAGATAGATAGATAATAGATAGATAATAGATAATAGGTAATAGATAAATTTTCCTGAGGTCTTATGTGTTGTGCGGTGATCATTGATATGGAACAGCGATGATTTTCTTTGGTAAAATACCTTTGTTTTGGAAGCTCAACATTGTTTACATAATAGCACAAAGGAATTTACGTGGTAATAATATTTCGTGTCACTCAAAAGGAGACAAGTGTGGCATTGTTTTAGTAATAGGTGTACACAATCGTTTTAGATCGTACAGTATTGAAGCCAGATTACTCACTCTCCCCTTCTTCAGATATCTAGTAATTAATAGCCGATAAAGTAAAATAGCCGGATTAATTTGGATCTGCCAATCAGCAATTTTATTTTTTTGTACCAGATGCTAATTGTGCTTTAGTGCCATCAAAAAGTGAATGGAGTGATAGCTCGTTTCTGGACAGCAAAACCAGAAAACACAGTTCAATCACTGAGTTACATGATAATACCGAGTAGAATGTACGCGGTTTGTAAGCGCACTCAAAAGGGAAACAAGAAAGTAATCATGCAAAATCCATCAACTGGACTCCCTCGCAAATAGCTATGCGCCATATGGTTCTAGCATTTGCATCTAGCTATTTTTATACATTCAGGCCAAGGGAAAGAGACCAGCTTTTGGTGAGACCAGAAGTGGGTGGCACCGTGCTATCTTCGTGGAAAATCGCTTGCATACCTAAATTGGCAGAGGCTGGCCGTAGCATGCGTTCACTGTCCAATTTAGGGTCTCATATTTCGGTCAGATGGTTTTCCCTTCCACTCAAAATAATTTCGGACTGTTTGAATTT